AACCCCTGTGAATTTTTGTTTAATTTGATAGCCTAATGAAATTGATAGGTTCATAGACGTGTTTCAGCATATTAATATGCATATTTTTGATGAGATATCAAGTTGGCAATTTTCAATTGGAATTTGGATGCTCTAAATATGCATATTAATATGCACACTTTTGGTGTTCATTTGAGTGTTTTTTCAAATAAGTTTGATAAGTTTTGTTATAGCTCGAATGTTATAGTTTGGGTATTTTGAATGTTAAATTGGTTTGAATGTTATTGCTCCATTGGTATATAAAGGTTGGTTAATTTCCAACTCTTCTATGGAATGATGAGTCGATTTTTTTGATAACACATGTGTTTCCATTGCCATTAGGTTCAATTTGACGCAAATTGAAGGAAATGTTTGCTATGGTTAAACTCAAGCGGTGATCACGATCACTCGACACTCTCATGTCGTGAGGTAATTTTTTATTTATTTTTAGAATAGCTAGGTTATTTATTTTTAGTGTCATACCACTTTGAATGCGATTTATTTTGTTTGAAATCTATAAAAGTTTACGGGTTTTAGAAACTTTCTCAATTAACTATTGATTATGTCCTTAAGTTTTATTGTAACTTTTTGTTTTGTGTGGCTTTGAGTTGATGTTGAAAGAACCCCTATCACAAAAGGAATCCTCTTAGCTTTGTTTTCCCAATTTTTCCGTTACAAATTAGTTCTATTTTTGTGCTTCCATTTGTTCTATTGGGTTTAGACAATTGCTTACATGCTTCCATTTTCTCGCATATGCTTTATTGGGTTTGCAATTCATATTTTCTTGCATACGCTTATACGCTTCCATTTTTCCTTTTCTTTTTGTTCGGTTTAGTGTCCTACGAATATGACTAATTCATTTTCTTTCTTGTCTTCAGGTTGATTTAGTCACACAAAGTTGTTGTTTTGACAGCTTGATCAATGCATGGCTGGACTGTAATTCTTTTTCATAACCAAGGAATCTTATATTGTTAATTTTTGGAGATGACTTTGTTGAAATTATTTGAAAAATAGTAAACCCATATTAATTTAAACTTATCTGCAATTCAACCAATACTTGAATGGGTTAACCAATAGCTAGGTAAATTGTTATGTTGTTAAATTGTTGTTTTAAGGATGGACTACGACATGAATGGTTAATATTATGGTGTTGATTTGGGTATGACTATGAGATATATAATCTTTGTATACAGGTTAAGATTTTTCTAGATTATTATTTTTAGAGAAAATTATGACGATTTTTTTAAAAAAATAGTGAAGAATAGATTGATTTCAATTTCTTTAATTGAAGCAAATGAAAGAAAAATTGTTTCAAAGTGACGGTGTTTTTTTAGTTATAAAGTGTCTTTAGGCACATGTTATTACTAGTATATCTATATTTAACGGGTATATCGGGAACAGGGCGAGAAGGGCTATTACGATTTGTTACTTGAATGAATTCAAACTTAAAGAAACTAACGGGCTGTTACGATTTGTTACAGTCCTATGATAAAATAGATTTCACTCTTTTAATAACTAACTCTCTAGATAGGATAATAACAATCACAAATTAAAAATAAATAAAATTCACTTATCTATTTATTTATTTATTATTGAATTATTACATCAATGTATAAATGTTACGATTTGTTACAATCCTATAATATATTTTTATTCATTTGTTTGTTTATTATTAAACGATTACACCATATTTTGTCACGTGGTATCATCGTTGTAATTAATATTTTCTCTACAGTTTACTACAATGTAATTTTTACACCAAATATTTAGAGTAAACTATACAATGACCTTCAAACTAAAACATTTGTATCAATTAAATATCTAAACATTTTTTATGTCAATTAAGTCCTGAATTCTCTAATTTTATCAATTGAGCTTTTATGGGTTTAAGGGTTCAATTGACATAAATAAATTAATGTCTTAATTGGCAGAGGAGTTATAATTTGAAGGTCAATTGTATAGTTTACTCAAGTCATTTGTGTTGCGTGAGTGACACATTTCGCCATATTTCATTAAAAAATCTAGCAGAGCCAGACAGAAGGAGTTAATTGACACAATTAGATAAAATTTTGGAGTAGTTTTGATCGTTTGATCAACAATCTTAAAACAATTTGAACTGCGAAAAATTCAAAACAAACAATGCTAACTCCTTTAGTATATGGATATATCACAAATTATATATATATATATATATATATATATATATATATATATATTATTCGCTTATTATACCATTCAAATAGTATAGTTTTTTTATTTCACTACAAAAAATTACATGTATTATAGTCAATCAACTCATTTTGATGAAAAAAATTTGTATTTAAGGTTCATTTATTTATTTGAAAATTTTAAAAATAATCCTTAATTATATAGAATCATAATTAACGATCAAATTAATATGTAATATGAGACAGAGAGAGACTTATAAGATAGATAAGAGTATTAGAATTATAGAAGGAATGAAAGTCTTGTTCAAAAAATTAGGAGAGAAAATTTTATTTTAGTACTGTCGGATTAATAATCGTCAAATAATTTAAACGACGAAAAATTAAAGACAAAGAAATTTATTTATTTTATTATATAGATATGTGTGTGGAGAGAGAGAGAGAGAGATTGTCTGGTGAGAGACAGAGAAAAAGCTCCTGGACTCTGTTTGTGCGTGAGTGTCTGACAGAGAGAGAGAGAGAGAGAGAGAGAGGAGGGGGCACGTACTTGTAGGCGGAGAAGGTGAGAAAGAGATGCAAAAATAGGTTGGCTTTAACCCTAATTTGGTACTGTTTTAAGGGTAATTGGGTAAAATTACCTTTACCATGTTATATGAAAAATTGGACCAGCCAAATCCCACTTGCTCCGTGGGTTTCAAAAATCCAGTGCATATGGGATTTGGGCATGCTTTCGCTACGGCCCGATTTTTTCTTTACCAACGATTATCCCAAGGCCTGTTGTGGATCCAAAGTTGGGATATGTGGGGCCTCTAGACAAAATAAACCCAATCCACTTGTATTATCTAACTTTATCCTTTAAACCAAACATCCCTTTTTGGATCGGTGACTTATCCTAACAAAATTAAATATTTTCCACATATACATAATAACATATATACATTAAAATATTAATATATATATATATATATATTTTTTTTTTTAGTAGCAAAGTGAATAACTGATATAGGGGTAGACTATGTATATTAGAAGTGATATAGAGTTAAATTGTAAAGAAGGAGCATTATAGTAATTAGGCAATATATCTCATTGGTTGAGTTTGTAACCACAGGGGAGGTGGGTTAAATTTAGCCGATGTAAGAGGGTTAAAAAAATATTGTACCATTCAGCTCAAGGTTAGACCCAGAATTTCTATTCAACCTCTATTTTGACTTCTCAAATACGGGATATGTGAGACCCACTATTTATTAGTCTGTCCTTATGAGTGTTATCTCACTTTAACCCATTAGCCAAACGCATCCTAAAAGTTATGGATAGTTAAAAGATAGTTGATGGTGCAGTTAAGTGCCATTAAAAAAGAAGTTATTAGAAGAATACTTTTATATATGGTTGTTTGTGTACATTATGATAATACTTGATACTAAATTGTTAAGGCCCTATTTAAAATTTTTGCTCAAGGCTTCAATTTTTACTGGGACGGCACTGTACATGATTAATGCAGAAAAATGAAGGGTTTTATAGATATTTTATGGGTATACACCGAATTTCATATGAGAAACCATCCATTCATTTTTAATTATCTAGAACTCCAAATTTCATAATAAAAATGCCCGAAACAATTTTTTTTTCTCAAATTTCCCCATTGTAAAAGCACCTTTGATCTGCTTGAGTCCCAAAAATTTATGATTTTTTTTTTATTTTGACAAATTGATTTGTCGGGTTGAGGAAAGTTTAAAGAAAGTTCAAGGATTTTGGTCCCTCAACTTCTCAATTTGTATCATTTTGATCCAATAAAAATGGCTGTTTGAATTAACTAATGGAGATGTTCAAGTGACCACACTTGAAGGTTGGGGTACCCTACCTTACGGGTAGGAAATATGATCTTTTATTTTTCTATCTGATATTTTACTGAAGATTTTTTGTTTGGCCCATCCTACCCGATCAAGTGTGGTATTCTTATCCGATTTTCGGCCAAATTAATCGAGTAGGAAGTCGGGTAAACACTTTTATAGTTATTAATTTTTGGATCATTTTCACAATTCAATTAAATAACATGCACTAATTTAACAACACAATAAACCAATAACACTAAAATCTAAAACAATTACAATAAAACACAAGAAAGCATAAACATCAATCCATCATAATTGTTGCACAAATATAATAACAATTATTTTAAGTTTAAACCATATGGTTAAGGAATTAGAGTTTTTAGTAAGATAGGAATACGAAAATTAATAACTATTCCGCATTCCTATCCGATTTAATCAGAAGACCAAAAACTCTTTTGCATTCCTATACGATTTCTTCGGCTAGCCGTTCAATAGGGTTGGATAGGATCAGGTAAAGTAGGAAATTACGACAAATCGGAAATTTAAACACCCCTTCTTAAAGGGTTACTTTGATTCCTCAAATTTGTAAGTTAAACCATTTTGGTCTTTCAAGTTTATAGTTTGTATCACTTTAGTCCCTAAAGTTTTCAAAGAATGCTCGTCAAGTGTAATCAGGTGAGATGCACGTGATGATCTCCGTTAGTAATTTCAACTGCCCTTTTTGATTGGACTAAAGTGACATAAATTGAGAAGTTGAGAGACTAAATTGACAAAATTAAAAAATTGGATTTGGGGAGCAAAATTGTATTTTACCCGAAGTTCAAAATGTCAATAGCAATGGAAAAAAAAGGACTATTTATCGGCTTATGTCTTGTATGTGCACACAAATAAAAGGCCACTTGGTGTATTGTAAGGCCAAATACTAAATAAAAAAATATGACACAAGTTAGCTGGAACTTAAAACATTTATAATTGAAAATCATTGTAGTCATCGATGTAATGGCGATCTCCAATCAAGGTTCTTTTCGTGATCACAGGCCTTGCCCTCAAACTGTGTGATGATCGCGCTCGATTGTCTTGAGTGTGCAATCATCACGCCCTCCACCGTCCGACAGTCCTCGATTTTGGTCCCTATTGTGGTTTCCCAGTATGTAGGGTGGGAACCAGGTGATTCAATTCTGGTTATGTAAGAGTCCTCCAAATACACCAGCAATCCACTTCTTTGGCTAAAGCAACCAAACATAACATGTTTAATCATCTCTGCAGTGTTGTCACTCCTTTCGGCCAGGTACGCTTGATCAGCAGACAATTTTTACATGAAGCAATCTACGTCTGTGATTCGCTTTTCTCCCATGTACTGAGCTAATGAAAAAACAGCTGATAAAGCCAGTGAATCAAGACATTGTATAAATGAGTTCTTATTAACATGCTCAACTTTCATAACTTTCTTGATTCCATAGAGACGGGAATCTCATTCACTGATACAGAGTATAAAATGAAATTTTTCCTAAATTAATTGAATTAGGGGTATTTATTTCATGATCGATCATATAATTAGTTCAAACAATTATAATTTTATTTTTAAAAAACATAACTTAATTTCAAAAAATAATAATTTTTAATAAGATACAGAAAATTCAGTACGGTAAAATTACCCCATTGCTGGACAAACTATGAGACAGAGTACTAAAGTTGAGCACACTCAGTACACGTGAAGGGCACACTAGTAGTCCACCGTGAAATGAGTGGATGATAGGGTGAAAACGTACGAGCACAAAAGAAACAACAAACAAACAAAACCCAAGTTGCCCAGCCCTGCCGGTCACTTTAACAGAGAATATTCCGATGTAGTAGTCCCATCTCTTTATTCTGACAACCATGATACAGCTTAGTTGCCTAGTATTCATAGGGGGCAGTAGTGGTCCCTTTATTTTGAGACCAATGTGACTGGGACCTAAAAATTTTAACTTAATTTGTTAATCTATGACTTTTGAATTAATTGTAAATTTTATCAAATATTAGAATTTGGTGTTGATTCAATGATTCTTATTAAGTCACATCATTATGTCAACAAATTATATTAAATTTTTAAGTATAAATAACATTACTCTTATTTTGAGGATGTCAATCGAGTTTTACCGTATTATATGTAGAGATAACATTGGATCGAAAAAAAATTAATATTCATTTAATTTCATTTTATTTGGATTGAAAATAAATCGTGCGTATTTAATAGTGAATATATACAAAAATATCCGTATAAAATCATCTAACGACAACCAACATTTTTCATAATCGATAGTACCCTATAAGTTACAATTTACATTTTAAAAAAGTTATAATTTACCCTTAAAGTATTATAATTTTTGGCAATATCTTAACCTTTCCTTTTGGGAAAGTCTGGTCTTCCCACAGCATTAATTTTTTGCACCAATCAACCCAAAATGACATGGACTGATGAACATATAAGGCCTTTATAGGTAGAAGCTTTAAATAAAGTCACATCATTTTAATATAATCTACAGTATTTCACTTAAAGTTTAATATATTTCTCGTAAAAAGGTTGATTTTTCTAAATAATACTCATGAATTTTTAACTCTGTTCCCAACACTTTGTCCTATTATTACCAAAAATAAAACAATAATATACATTCTATTTCATTTTCTAAATTTAGTTCATAAATTATTTTAAAGTCCTCGATTATAGTCCCAACAGAAAACATCACAAAGGAACCTCTCTATGTCCGTCTCAAAACTTGAACCAAACATGTTGTCAAAGTTTTAATCATTTGACAGAACAACGTAGACAGTGGCATTGAAAACCAAACCCTTCGGACAGGATAGCTTGCCGAGCATCACGGTCCATACTTGCATCAATATAGCATATCCGCATCTCTTCACCTGCAATATCAACCAAAGAAGCTAAACATTGCTGCTAAAAAACTCTTTTAACATGAAATTTCATAACTCAAACCACATTAGATTTATCGATGGACCAGCGACTCCAGCCATATAAAGAAAGTCGAAGCCATTTCAGAAGTCGACCAATACTTAGTTTAGGTATTTGGCTCAGAAAGGAAGGGGAAGAGAGAATATCAGTTGTTTGGCTCTACAATTATCTCATATAGAAAGAGTTTGGGAATATAGAAAAGAAAAAATCAAGGTATTATCCTTTGCTCAAGGAAGGGGTCCATATAGCTATGCTAGCCCACCCTATTTTGCTTGTTCGAAGCAAGGACAGATACTACTAGTAAGACGTCCAGCAGAAATAACAGATTATAAACCAAAACATGCCAATTACATTTACAGTGGCTAATGTGCCACCATTGTTTCACTAGGCGCTTGACCCACCTCCTAGTCCTACCCAACCAGATAAAAGGCATTTAAAAATAGAAGCAAATAAAGGAATAGGTAGTTAACCTGCTTCAATGTCACGGAGAGCCTTCAATTTTGCATCCACATTTTCTATCCATAAAATGTGTGCATTG